CAGGCAGGACTGGCCTAGGGGTATTTTAAAGGGGTTTTAAATTAAATTTTTAGTAGAAGCGGCCAAATTTAAATAGTTATTTTTAATCTTTTTAAATTTTGTATTGTATCATTGTTTTAAACTGGCTGTAAGCCGCCCTGAGTCCTCCGGGAGAAGGGCGGGGTATAAATTTAATAAAATCTAAAATCTAAATCTAAAATGTCTATGATTAAACACAGTATTATAGGAGTTATATAAACAATATTTAAGAAAGGGTAGGATATCATGCTTAGGTGTATTTGAACTGGATTAGCACAATAAGTACTTTCAGAAAGCTATTTTCTTTACAAGAGACTACAGAGTGACTAGCTACAACACACTGAACGACAAACCAGATGACCACATTCAGTCTAGTGAATTGTGCACATGTGTATAGTTTGTTTGCCATGCACCCCTTGTAATTGGACCATAGACTTTTAAAAGTCTAGTTTCTTAGTATAACTAATTTCTCTGATAATTTTACATGTATTTTCTTGTCACTAAAATAACAAAAACTGAAAGGATACAATATGTAAGATTTTTTTTCTTATAATGGTCTAAAGTATTTCATTTTCTAGTTTTTAAATTTGTATTTGTTTATATTTATATCCCACCCTTATTATTATTACAAATAATTCAAGGCGGTGAACATATCCAACACACCTTCTGCCTATTTTCCCCACAACAACCACCCTGTGAGGTAAGTTGGGCTGAAAGAGAATGACTGGCCCAAGGTCACCCAGCTATCTTTTATGCCTAAAGTGGGACTAGAAATCAAGGTTTCTAGCCTCTCTCCAGCCTTAACCACATATCTTGTTTTATTGGGTTTTGCTTCATTGAGATTTAAAGATACTGCATTATTTTTTATCAAGATGCTCCACCAACAAAAATGTTACAACTCACTGAAGGCTCCAACGATGCTCAGAAGGTATTTTTCAGCAATAAAGTATTTTAAATTAATTTAGTTAAGGTATGTACATTGCTTTTTTTAGATACAATGCTATTACACACAGTCATAAAAGTATATACATATACATATGTTGTCTATACATATACATTTTAAACATACCTAAATTAAAATCAAACATCAGTGGGGAGGGCAGATCCCACATTGGGGGGAGGTGGGATCTATTCCCCCTTTGGGGCCCTAAGCCAATGACAAAGACATGTCTTTAAACTTTTATGAAAGGATAGGAGGGTTGGGGTCAACCTCACATTGGGGGGAGATGTTCCAGAGGGCAGGAGCAACAGCAGAGAAGGTGTTCCTTCTGGGCCCCTGCCAGCCAGAATAATCGGACTGATAAGACCTGCAGCATGCCTCCTCTGCTGGTATGAGTGGTACAGGCCAATCCCAGTGGGGTGAGACAGCCCCTCGAGTAACCTGGACCCATGCCGTGAAGGGCTTTTAAGATGATCAACAATTTGAATTGCACCCAGAAGCAGACTGGCAACCAATGCAGCTCGCAGAGTAGTGGTGTTACAGGGGCCAGTCTTGGGGCTGCCAAAACTGCCTGCACCACCACGATCTGCACCAGCTGTAGCTTCTGAATGCTCAAGGATAGCTCCATGTAGAGCGCATTGCAATAGTCCAACCATATACTGTAAAAATAACTTTAATATGCACTGCACAAACAAAAAAGTGCATGTGACTCAGTTTATTGTGATGTAGGAAACCTCTGACCTAAATGTTTATACCTTCAAACCAGGCACATTTACATTTTTTAATATTACGCCCTTTAGTCTCCCAAGCACAAAGGTGGTTGGATGCATTTGAAAGAATAAGAATACCAAGGTGAAAATGTCTTCTTTCTGTACACCGAAAGCAAAAGTCACATTTCCATGCTTTGGCCATCCATAATATTTGAATGCAGAAGCTCCTAGGTTTATTGAACAAGACAATATCATTATGACAAGAAAAGTTCTCCCGTGTCCAATTTTGATACTGAGTAAACATTGCATCAAAGTATAATGGAATAGATTATAGGATCACTGGTTGCAAACCCAAGCACTTCTATACTTAGATCATTAAAGTTTCACTCTGACCAACTGAAAACAACTGCAATACATCCTGAATACAGAACAAGAGTCTCAAGAATGAAGCTCATTACTAATGTTAATAGTATCAATATGGTACAGAAAAAATACCATATTTAAACAAAAGCCATTTCAGTGTTTCCTTTAAACATACTTATTCCTGACCAAATTAGAGAAATCCCATAAAACTGGACAGTACGAATAACTGTCTTGAATTATATAATCCCCTAAGATCTTGTCATATGACAAGATACCTCACTATTACTAAGCAGAAACACCGAAGTTTTCCTCCTTAGTGGCTCCCATTTTTTCCTTTCCTCCACAAGCACATCCTTCCAAGAATGGGCATGCATTTTGGGTGTGTGCAGATGCATCATATAAACTGCTCCGGTGAAGTACTTTTATGTCTTCATGGAAGACAGGTTGAAACAGTTTCTAAGGCAAAGGTAGTCAGTCCCCCTGTTACAACCATCTGCAATTTATTATAATAGAACGGTTCAACGAAGAGCTTTAATTCCACCACTTGAGGCCTGCCAAAGATATCCAAGACCCTCCACACACAATCAGGTTCCAAGAAAGACAAGCTTCCCCCAGCAAGATCAGAAAGGCTGAGCCTTCTTCCTCCAGATGCTCCTCGCTTTTATCCTCCCTCTTTCAATGAGACAGGTTGCTGTCGTTTCCCACCCTCGGTATCATGCATGCATGCATGCATGCATGCATGCATGCATGCATGTATATATGTATGTATGTATGTATTTACTCTCCTCACAGCTACCGAGACGCGGACATCTTCATCCAAACAACTACGATACCGACCTGTATTCACCCTTCCCACTCCGTACCTAAATCCTTTCGGGTACCAGAAGCTGCTTCTCCCCTTGCAAAGGTTTGAGCGCCTGCAGAAAAAAGGAGGCCCTTTCCCCCCACTCTGCTGGGGACAAGTCTCTGCCCCCCACTTTCTCTCGCGGCTCCCATGGAAGGGCTAGGCCCGAATGCACCGCCGCCGCCGCCCCCCCGATGCTGTAATCCCCCTTACGCATACAGGTCGACGTAACCTCTGTGGGGTGGTCAGGCCTTACGCAAATCTACCACTGCCTTGGCGACACCCGAAGAGGGAGAGGAAGGGGGCCTCTTCCGCCACATTACCTCACTTCTCCCTTTCACCTGACCCGCGAAGCCTCTCGGACCCCCGAGCAGGTTTCCCCCGTCGCTCTTGCCGGAAGTACGTGCCGGAAAAACAGCGTCCTCCTCTCTCTCGCCGCTACCGCTGCCACCGTTGTTACCACACACCAGGCGTTGTCCGGAACTAGCCGGCGATCGCGTGAGCCCATGGGACCTGTAGTCCGCTTCCCAGAAAAACTACAGGTCCCGAAAAGCATTGCGAGGCCTCGGGCAAAAGAAAGCGGGGCGGGAATGGGGGGGGGGGTGGCGGTGACAAAAAGAGGCCGCTACAAGGCGAGCGGGGAGGGGGAGGGGCCAGTGAGCGAGAAGACCAATTAAAAGCCAGAGTCGGAGTGGTGGGCGAGGCCTTGACCGTATTAGGCAGAAAGAGGCGGGGCGACGGGAAAAAAGGATGGGTGGGGGAGAGTAAAAGTCTTCGGGCGCTACAAGAGGCGACAGAAGCGATCCTGGAGGCGGTGTTGTTGTTTCTCGAACAGTTTCAGCGCCCAGGACCTGGTTGAGCTTGACGGGATCGGAAGCCCCACCTGAAGCCCTTGCGACTTGCATCGGAGGGCTTCTCTCGGACAGGTAAGCGCCGCCAGACGCTCCTGCACCAGCACGCCTCCTCCTTGGGTGTCTTGGCTTGCCGTGAAGCAGCTCCGGTGGGGAACGCCGGAGCGCCCATCTCGCGTGTTGTGCAGCCTTAAAAGGGGGATCCTTTTCAAACAAAAAATTCCCATCGCTCGGTAAACGAAGTACATCTTATGTCCTTTTGAAGAGCTTTCCGCTCATTCACAAAAACACAATGCTTTTTTTTTTAAAAAAAAATATCCCAATATCTTCTATTTCAGTAGAATAAATGACTCCAAATATATTTTGGGGGTGGTGGTAATTCTTATTGAAATCTTTTGGAAATTCTTTTGTCTCTTCATCATGATAATCTTTTTGGTTTGATTCTTTTTTCTCCTTTCTTTCTATCTTTCTGGTAGGTATACAGGTATTCCTAGATCTTTTCCCAGCTTTTACGTGAAGGTTCATATATTCCTCTGAGCAAGGCTTGATACTTTTTCCTGACATTTTTACAAATACCTGTTTCTGCTAGACGATCAGAAAGAATTATGTTTTTAACTGAAGACCCCGTGAGTTTCATTCATTGTCTTTTTCTCAAGCGTTTCCTTTGCCAGGGCATCTTAAACAATTGTAGCACCCGAGCAGAACTTTAAAATGCATACTTTTAGTATTGAGAATTGGCCTTTATGGGTTAATATAAAGATAAATGGTTGCTTGTCAATTTAGACTTACTGTATCCTGTAACATTAACAAGAGTTGCAGTTGGTGCAATAAATCCCGTGAAAGTTTTATATTGATTGTCTGACCATTAACATGATCCTTTGTGGATTGTGTATCTCCATCTGTATTAGAATAAGCTAATTTTTGTATATTGAAATCATTGGGAATTTTGTTATTGTTTTCATGTGAACTGAAATATGAAATTCATCTTTTTAAAAAAATGGAAAAAATGACCTGTCAGTTATCAAGATGTGGATACAGAAATAATTTATGAGTCTTTCTGATTAGCACTGATTAGGTTAGTCTTATGTGAACTGCATAGTACTGATATCTGTGTAAATCTGTGCAACGACTACTCTGCACAATAAGATATTCTAGAAATATTTTTTGAGAAGATCATTAAGTCTCTTCACTTCAGCTGACTCTACCACTTCAAAGAGGAATGTAGAAATGCCTAAATTTCTTTTTAAACTGCAGGCTGAGATCTATGTGAATAGGTCTTCAGCTCTGTAAAGAACATCAGTCTAGTCTGTCCCTATACCAAGACAGTTATTTTCTTCTACCCGTAGAGTGTTGTCAGATTGATCTGAATACCTGGTTCTTTTTTAAAACAAATATTGTCTCCTTAACATGTTGCAATTCACATTTCCCCCTCCACATGTAATGACAGTTAATAAGAATGGATCTTAATATTATGCTATGCAAATGTTAATGTGTAGACTGTAACAGAAATATGTAGAAGGGAAAGGTGTTTTTCAGATTCTTAAATGCCAGCATGACATTTTATATCAGTTCATATTAAATTCTAATCAATTTTCTAGGTGTCTAGAAAACCAGGTGCAGGAATGTTTGTATCCCTGATTATTTACTTCCAAATTGAAGTTCTGCCAAAATAAAATTACCATCTGGCTTATCTGTCTTTACATGACAATAAAAGCTTGAGTGGGATTTAGTTTCAGTGGGAATACCTATAAAATAAACCATATAATCCTGAAAATGTTTACTTATAAAGACATATTTCTAAAGTCTATGATATGACCACTTATGGGGTATATTTATTACTGCATACAACATATATATATATATATATATATCTAATTACTTAGTGCAAATATAGAGCAATTTTAAAATAACAGATTTGTGAATTAAAACATTCTAAGCATTTGGGCTTTTTCTGATTGCTTATGTGATATGATGTGATCCATATTCCTATTCCAAGCTTTGCATATAATTAGAGTCTATAGGTTTAATCTCATCCTTATATGTGGTTTAGATAATGCTCTTTATATTTCATCTGATGTGTGTTGTGCCATTCATCTTTCATTCTGAAGAATTTGATGAAAACTAGCATCTATGTCAATGCCAAATAAATCACATTGTGGCTTGTCTGAAGAATGGACTGCTGATTTGATTTGGAATTCATTAAAGCAACCACATCTGTTTTCAGGATCACATAGCTGTTTTAATAAGCCACAGAAAAATACTGTGTTCACAGTCCTAGGCATTCTGAAATAGTTTTTCCAAATACATCTGAAGCTTTATATACTCATATTTTATCCAGATACATATTAAGCTAAATTTATTTCTTGATTTTTTTGGATTTTTTAAAATCTCACCTTTATTACTTTATAAGTAACTCAAGATGGAGAACATAAATTATTCTCCTTCTTCCTCCTATTTTCCCCACAACAACGATGCTGTGAGGTGAGTTGGGCTGAGAGAGAGTAACTGGCCTATAATTATCCAGCCGGCTTTCACGCCTAACATAGGACTAGAACTCACAATCTCCTGATTTTTAGTCTGGTGCTTTTAATTTATAGACCAAACTGGCTCTTAATTATATCTCAGCTAGGATATAACACTAACTGATCAGTGTAGATCTGCACCTATAATGAGAAACATTGCTTTCTTTTTCATGTTGAACATGGGGAAGCTTTGCTTGTGTATGTGGGTATATTGATTGTCTCATAATGTGGCAGGAAGATTTGGAGCCTGAGTTTTAAGATCATCAGTTTTTCTTTTTCTGTTATCTTTTCTTCCTTTGCTGAATGGAATGGCTAGGGAAAAGCAAGTACTTTGCAAGAGATCTGAACAGATTATTTGTAGAGGTATTTTGAAATTAACCTGAGAACCACATGCAACCTAAAACCATAGGTTGCTCTATACCATTTTTTAATGAAGTTCACATGTTCTTTAGAAGATGCAAAATTGCCCTTCACAACAACAGGAATTTTTTTTTCTTTTAAACGGAAGCCTCATTTTTGTAATCATTCGTTTTTTTAAAAAAACAAAACCTCTGTTAAAGAAAATATTTATAACTAATTTGTAAGTTAGACTTTGCAACTTCAGGTTAAACAATCTGTAGTTTTCCATAAATTATTCATTCTCTCTGCTTTCATTTAAGCTATTATTTAGTTATTACTGTGGAATAGGTTGCAAGAGTTCACATATTACGCTGAACCTTGGCTTTTTCAACCATAGTTGTTTTGATTCATACAAAAAACTAAGACAAACCACATTATGGCTTTGTCAAGAGTATGCAGGGAATGTAACCTCTATCTGTCCTAAAACGTTCAAAATCATTTCTGGATCAGGCTGATGCGCATTTAAATCTAAGATTTATAGACTAACCAAATGCATTCAAATTAGTGACCATCATTGCACCTTATGATAATGAATTTTACAGGCTAGTTTTATTAAGATATATTCCTTTTTCACTGTTCTAAACCTTCAGCTTTATTGGAGGACCCATGCATTTAGCATTTTAAAAGAGAAGGAACCCCCCCCCCCCAAAAAAAAACTTACTCTTTTCATTTTCTTCCTGCCAGGCATGCTTTTATATCTGTTAGTTGCCTTTGTTTTATTAAGCTGGAGTTCCAGATATTCTAGGTTTTTCCACAGAGAAGAATTTTAATGCCCTAGTAATATAAGTGGCACTTTGTCCAGTTATGATGTTGATGCACATTATGCTTCTATTCTTATTTATACCCATTAAATTATTTAAACAAGTGGTTACATAGACCAGAGAAAGTTTCTGTGCTCACTTTTGCAACAGTTCACTAAATGTGTGAAGTAGAAATAAATACCTGGAAATTGTGATGTGTAATGAGATGTATTGGAGATGCTTTCTCCTATATATTTTTACCTTTACCACAGATATAGAGAAATTATAAGCATCGTCTTAAGCACTTTACCCTTTTGAAATAATAGAAAATACTTGTAGCTCGGGTTTTAGATTTTGGCTGTGGTTTGCTGTCCAAGCTTGTTTCAGTTTAGTTTCTGAAAGTTTCATTACCAAACTAGGTAACATCATCAGCAGATTTAGTAGACAAAACTGCTGTAGTTGTTCTCCCATAGCAGAGATTGTATGAGAAATTTTGCTTCTGAGATTTTACTTCAGGATGTTGTCCAGCAAATCTCTTGGTCCAATTACGTTAACAGGGGAGCTGGCATAAATGCAATGAGTGGTTTTAAATGAGGTTTAAAATGCCTGATTTGTTCTCTGAATTTCCTCAGATTAAAAGTTGGCTTGAATGTTTAATATGCCAAGGATACTATGAGAGGCTGATAGAAAATAATGAGGGGTTTAGGCCATCAGTGTCTATGATTCACTCCACTAAATCACTAGCTTAATAATAAGAATTCTTCTGCTTATATTTTTTCCTGCTGAAGAATAGATTACAGTACCTAAACTCATGAATTATTATCATTATTGGAACATACTTCAGATAATCCTGAATCTATAGTACTCTTTACAAGCAGTTAATGGAGATCCATCTGAGTAATTACCATTATCTGCAAGGACTCTGGTGTAAAGAGTTAGTAAAACCTAGATTAGCAAATCAATGGCAAAAGGTCTTTAAATTAT